TGCATTGTTGCGGTGTTGTCGTTTATTGTCGCCGACCCACCCGCGACCCACCCCGGCCCACCCCACGACCCAACCCGTGATCCACCCCGCGACCCACCCCGCGACCCACTTGCGACCCCCACCCGCGACCCACCCCGCGACGCACCCGCGGTCCACCCCGCGACCCACCCGCGACCCACAGACGACCGACACCGACGAACGACAACGACGTTGATGACGACAACGACGTCGACAACGACGTCGACAACGACGACGAAGACGACCGACAACGAAGAACGACGACGACCGACAACGAAGAGCGGCGACGACGACGACGACGACGACAAGGGACGACGACGACGACGACGATGACGACGAAGACGACAGACAACGAAGAAAGACGACGACGACGTTGATGACGGCGGCAACGACCGACAACGAAGAGCGACGAGGAGTTGTGACGAGCCCATGCCTGCGAAGGCGTCGTTGCCTCCACGTGGCGTATAAGAGGTATCCTCCTTGCCTCTCTCCTCAATCCTCGTCGTCGTCGTTGTCGACGTCGTTCTTCTCCTCCTATTGTTGCGTGTTTTACCTCTCTTGATTGCCTGAGAGCACCGAACTAGCCCGCGACCGCCGCCCCTTATGCGGATCTATAATAGGATCCCTATGAAGACATCTCTGGGGATCCACATGCGCATCCCCATGCGGATCCCCATGCGGGTGCCTGTACGTATCCCTATGCGGATCCCTATGCGGATGCCTCTTGGGATCCCTATGCGGATCCCCACGCGGATCCCTTTGCGGATCCCTATGAAAATCCCGATGCGGATCTTATAAGGATCCCTGGGAATCCCAATGCGGATTCCGATGGATATCTCGATGCGATCCTCATGCGGATCCTCAAGCGGACTTCTGTGCGGATGCCTACGCGGATCCCTATTCCGTTTCCTATGCGGATCCCTATGCGTACAGCGGCATTGCCGGGCTTGCATTGAATTCTAAAACATGTCTTTATGGGGGAGGGCGATATATACGCTGCACATCTAGTGTTATGTAGCACAGCAAGAGAATAGCAGAGTGAGAACAGCGTTGCAAGCACGAGCAGGGGTACGAAGTGCCTCCGACTGATTGCATTTTGGCCCAAACCTTTTCAGGGCCCTTGAGTCACCAGCGCAGCGGTGTGAAAACATCAAGATGTTATTCGCTATCATTCTTCTCATTGCCACCAGAGACTTCGAGGGCTTCGATGACTTCATATTGGCAGCGGTCCCTGGTTCGCCAGGTTCGCGCTTTGAACTTCCATATCCCGGCGGCGTTTTCGAGAAAATGTTCGACCATTCCATCAGCTTCGCTTACGGAAACCACTCAGCGGCTGATTTCGTGGACTCCTCGCGGCTAAATTTCGAGTACCCGGTGCCAATCAATTTCATAGGGACGGCTCGAGCTAAATTTCACAGGACAGCAAAAGTTAGATTGCACGGACCCCTTGCAGTTCACTTTCGGCAAGATGGCGAAGAGGGCAGCAGCATCAGACATTCTACCAGAGCGAGGAGTTCCACAATTCGACGGTACGCTCAGCAAGTGGAAGGAGTACGAGAAGCGGGCGATGATCTTCATAGCGAAGCTCACGCTGGAGCACAAGGAAGGCAAAGCGGCTCTCATGCTCAGTGCAGGTCTCACCGGCGAGGCCTGGGACGAAATGGATGATCTCTCAGCAGACGACCTCATCAAGCCGAACGCGGCGAAGCTGCTCATGAATAGGCTACAGAAGCGATTCAAGATAGACGATCGCACGGAGCTCGCGGACGGCTTCAAGGAGTATTCCTACAAGCTCAAGCGGTTCAGAGGCGAAACGCTCTTCGCCTACCTTTCGCGGGTTCGAGTAGCAGAACGGAAGCTCAAGACACACGACATCGAGCTACCCGCCAAAGTTCGAGGCTGGCTCCCGCTACGACGCAGGGGCTACAGCGCGGACCAGAAGGCAGTCATCATGTCTGTGGTCGGCAAGGACATCACCCAGGAGAAGGTGATCGAGGCGCTGGAGACCACCTTCGGGCAGGAGAGCACCGTCCACGAGCCGAATCACGCACGGAGACAATATTTCGTCGACGAGGAAGGAGATCACTAAGAGGAAGAGTTTTTCACTGTCGATTCAGAGGACGAGCCAACGAACGATTACGAGCAGGAGTACAGGGCGGAGGACGACGACGCGTGGTACGACTGCGACGAGAGCTACTACGAGCGCGAACCCAGCGCGGCTCACGAGCTCGACCCCGGTGAGCACGACGAGGTATACGAAGCCTACGCGGATGCCAGGAAGCGGTTCTACGACCTGAAGCTAGTGCGAGGGTTCTACCCAGTTGTGGCGATGGTCGGAAGCGGTTCAAGGTCAAGCGCAGCACCTGTTGGAGCCACCAGCGGCCGTGGCAAGCCAAGCAGCAAAGGTTCCAAAGGACGCGGAAAGTCAAAAGGAAGAAAGGGCAGCCCAAAAGGTTCACCACCACCACCTGGCGCATACGCGAGAGCGCGACCTACGGCGCCGGATCCAATGGGAAGAGCCAGGGCAGCTACGCGGCCAGTCTCGTCGCTGCCCTGCGCCGCTTCGGGCTACCAGAAGAAAACCTTATCCATCGCGCAGGCAATTTACTCCAACTGGCGTTTCGCTGTTCGCGAGGCTGGCAGAATCACGGGGAAACGGGGGCAGCAAGCGGGCATGCGGCACATGCCAGGGCTGCCCGCCATCGCAGATTTGTCATGCCATCCTGATCACTGTCATGATGTCTTCCTTTGAGACGCGAAAGCCGCGCTCGACAACGCTGCCGGCTACTTAAGTGACTTGGTGTAAGTGGACGACGCGCTGATCGTTGCTCCAGGAGTAGCCGATGCGAACTTGCACATGAAGACCATCGCGGAGGCCTGAGCTCACTACGGCCTGATGTACAACTGGAAGAAATTGAACTGATGCCCACTGAGTGCAGCGTCGCTGTCATACACAAGCCTGGCGGCTGCCCGATTCCAGTACAGGAGCGCATGGTATTTGTGTGGAGTGTTTTGTCAACCGATGGTTTTGTGGGTGCGAGCCATCAGAGTTCGATTCCTTGCAGCGTAGTTGGTCTCAAAATGTTGTCCATCAACCAGAAGCTGACTCTATGCGCAGCGTGTGTTGAGTCGACATTCCTGCACAGTGTTCATACATCTCGGTTGCGCCCGCACGAGGTTTCTAGATTGAGTGCATGTCAGGTGCGCTGCCTCTAGAAAAATGTAAACATCTCGCATTCATGCGTCAGGCATGTCTCCAACGCCGTGATTCTACAGCGAGCCCGACGCGCCAACCTCAGCAATGTTATGTTGCAACGGCACTTGCTCTTGTTGGGCGATGTTGCACGCAAGGGCAGAGAGCACTCTATGAGGCAAGATGGTGTCCAACCTTCGATTCGACGCGTCAGCCTGCCCGCTGTAAGGGGGGAACGCCCCAACAAGCATGGGCATTAAACTGTCATAAACATGCGCGACACACGTGCCGTCATTATGATTGAAATGCATCAGATGCGGAGACATTTCAAACAACATCTGGGCAACAGCAGTGCAAGTATACGTCTAGCGCACGCTGGTGTCATTGCTCATTTGCCCACGGACACGCGGCTTCATGTACTCCTGCGAATTCACTCACCCACTGGGTATTGACATGGCATGTACTGGGGCGGAACGAGCTGCCAGGCGAGCGAAAATTGTCTCGTTCGTTTCTCAGGACACTGTCAGGGAGGTTAAGTTCTTCTGGTCCCCAAAGCAGCCAAACAGAGACGCAGAGTGGCGCTGGGGCCCAAAGTCGAAGCGCTCGCATCCGCCCTGCGCGGTGCGCGACGCCTTGGTGACTGCGTCCACCAGGCGGCGCGGCGCGAGAGCGTCCCAGTGCCACGCCGCTGTGTTTGCGGGCTCAGCGATCCTTTTGGCGTCGTCGCGGAGGTATTCCTGGCGCGTATCGCCGATGCTTGCTCGCACGGCGCCAGGCGCGAGCACCTTGACTGGGTTCGTCGTCGTTGTCATATCCTTGACTCCTGGGCGTGTATCGCCAGGTCCGTCATCCAAGGGGTGATCGCACTGCAAAAAGCTGGGAAGAAAGACGCCCCGTCGTGCTAGGACCCCATCGCTCCGCTGAAAAGGCTGTGGCTCGACCATTTTTCTCTCGTCGACTGGCCCCCCTCGTGCAGGAGGTCTGGGCGCCGGCTTGAAAGGGACGCACCCTGTTTGCTCTGCTCCCAGTCTGGCCACCTGGAGGGCAGTTCCCTTGTTGAGATCACCACGTGTTGCTCGAGACTCGGCCTCGACAACTGCAGCGATATCGCCTGCCCAACGTCCGTGGTTCTCAAGCAAACTCTGCAACCAACTGCTGATCGAATATCACGTGGTACGGCGGAAATCGGAAGCGACGAGGCCAAGACCTGTTTCTGAGCCGACAGGGTGCTATGGCCGAATCTGCATGGCATGTACAACATGTCATAACGATTACTACTACTACTCCTACTACTACTACTACTACTACTACTACTACTACTACTACTACTACTACTACTACTACTACTACTACTACTACTACTACTACTACTACTACTACTACTACTACTACTACTACTACTACTACTACTACTACTACTACTACTACTACTACTACTACTACTACTACTACCACTATTGCTACTACTACTACTACTACTACCACTACTACTACTACTACGACTACTACTACTTCTACTACCACTACTGCTGCTACTACTACTACTACTACTGCTAATACTACTACTACTACTACTACTACTACTACTACTACGACTACCCGTATAATTATTACTTTGACGACTATGACTTACCACGACTATTATTAGTACTAGTACACGTACTACTACTACTACTACTACTACTACTACTACTACTACTACTACTACTACTACTTACTTCCCAATACACTACCACTACCACTACACTACACTACCACTTACTTATTACTACTACTATACTTCTTACTACTACTAATACTACTACTCTGCTACTACTACCTCTACTAACTTTACTACTTTTTACTTACTTCTTATTTTACTACGGACTACGGACTTACGACTACGACTACGACTACGTACTACGTCTTACTACTACTACTAATACTTCTACTACTATCTACTTATACTGTACTTACTACTACGACTACTACTTACTACTACTACTACTTACTACTTATTACTAACTACTTACTACTACGGACTTACGGGTCTACGACTACGTCTTTTACTACCTACTAACTACTACTACTACTACTACTACTACTACTACTATTACTACGACTACGACTACTACTACTAACTTTACTACTACTACCCTGATCATATGGCGAACCAGGTTCAAGGTCGACACGCAACCTTGAAGAATCTACACCTCAGCACACAAACCCTTTTGGATGCCCACGCTGATTTTTGGAGTCGGCGCTTGAACCCCTCCCCTGCGTGCGAAGCTTGCGGGGGGTTCAGGGCCGACACAAGAACTCAGGGCGGGCATCCGATAAACATGTCACTAGGAAGCTGGAAACATACATGGCTAGATTCACATGTGGAACATCTGGAGACCAACTGCTGATGCACACTTGGAAGATTACCACGCCTGCCCATGGAAGGGCCGAGCGCCGACATGTTCATACGGCTGCTGCCGCGTCAGCATGTGTATCCAGCTTCCCGGCATGCAACTTGCATTCACTGGCAATAATTCTAGACGCTTCGCGTATCCCCACCAGCCCGTCCAGAAATGAGTCCCAGGGGAGTGGAGGTTATGAGGGAAGCGGGGGAGCATGCAGAAGAACAAAGGGCGGGGTGAGCCGCCATATACCCCAAGAGGGGGAGGATGTAGGAGGAGCCGTCGTCGTCGGAGTAGGAGGAGGAAGAGGAGGAGCAGGAGGAGGAGCAGGAGGAGGAGCAGGAGGAGGAGGAGGAGGAAGATAAGGAGGAGGATATGGAGAACTGCGAGGACGAGAAGGAGGAAAAGGAGAAGGAGGAGGAGGAGGAGGAGGAGGAGGAGGAGGAGGAGGAGGAGGGGGAGGAGGGAGGAGGAAGAAAAAGAAGAGGAGGAGGAGGACAATGGCGAGCTTGGGGGCCTCTTGGGCCGTCTTTGGGGCCTCTTGGCGGTCCCGGGGGCCTCTTGCGTATCTCGGGGAGCCTCTTGTGGCCTCTTGGGGGTCTCTTGGGGGCCTCTTGGAGGCCTCTTGGGGGCCTCTTGGGGCCTCTTGGGGCCCTCTTGGGGCGCTCTTGGGGCGCTCTTGGGAGCCTTCGAGGCGCTCTTGGGGCCATCTTGGAGGAGATCTATCAAAGAAGGGGGGGTCCCCAATTAGCGCTGCCCCTCTAGAGTGCCTCGAATCGCTTCTTGGGCCCTTCTTGAGGCCAAAATCTTTCCAAAACCTAAGGAAAATCAATGTTTTGTGTTTTCTCGCCTTTTCGCTCTTGGAGCCGTCTTGGGCCGTCTTGGGAGCCTTTTTGGCCTCTTGGGGGTCTCTTGGGAGCCTTGTGGAGGCCTCTTGGGCGCCTCTTGGGGCCTCTTGGAGCGCTCTTGGGGCGCTCTTGGGGCGCTCTTGGGAGCCTTCGGGGCGCTCTTGGGGCCATCTTGGAGGAGATCGATCAAAGAAGAGGGGGTCCCCAATTAGCGTTGCCCCTCTAGAGTGCCTCGAGTCGCCTCTTGGGCCCCCCAAGAGGCCAAAATCGTTCCAAAACCTATGTAAAATCAATGTTTTTTGCTTTCTCGCCTTTTCGCTCTTGGAGCCGTCTTGGGCCATCTTGGGAGGCTCTTGGGGCCTCTTGGGGGTCTCTTGGCAGCCTCTTGGAGGCTTCTTGGGGGCCTCTTGGGGCCTCGTGGGGCCGTCTTGGGGCGCTCTTGGGGCGCTCTTGGGAGCCTTCGGGGCGCTCTTGGGGCCATCTTGGAGGAGATCTATCAAAAAAGGGGGGGTCGTATATTAGCGTTGCCCCTCTAGAGTGCCTCGAGTCGCCTCTTGGGCCCCCCCGAGAGGCCAAAATCCTTCCAAAACCTAGGTAAAATCAATGTTTTGTGTGTTTCTCGCCTTTTCGCTCTTGGAGATGTCTTGGGCCATCTTGGCCGTCCCAACGACCCGCGGAACGCCCCGTCCAGGTCAGTGGGGAGGGGTAAGGGGAGGGGTAAACCCCTCCCCGAAGGGGAAGAAGGGGGTTGGCAGAGGAAACTCCCTAAACCACCTACGCCCTAAAGGGCTGGTGGGATTATTTCTTCGTGGGTGGGGGGGAGACTCATGCTGATCAGCATCGGGGAAGAGGGTGCCACATTGCTTACACCTAAGTCCTGATTGCATGCAATAAGGCGACACCTGCACGTGGCACCTGCGATTCCACGATAGGTCACTGAGATACGCAGCGGAGGAGGGGAGGGTGCACGCATGGGGAAGAGGAAGACACGACAGACGCTGCAAGCGGGAGGGGAGGGCGCACCCTCCATGGTGATGTTTTTGATGTCGGTCTTTTCCTGCACGGCGCCGGGGGGCAGGCCCGCGAGGCGCTAGCAATCCCACCAGCCCTTTGGGCGTGAGTGGTTTAGAGAGCCCGCTCTGTCCTCAACCCCCCTTCTTTCCCTTCGGGGAGGGGTTTACCCCTCCCCCTACCCCCTCCCCCTGGGCCTGGAGAGGGCGGGCCGAGCGTGGTCAGGGGAGTCTTTTTCGACGCCTGGGAGGGCCAAAAAACGACGACCCTCACGAGGATTCTGGCCCCGAGGGGGGGGGACCGTTTGGCGCCTCCGCTCGTCTTTGAAGCAGAAATCATTGATTTTACTAGGGTTTTGGCCCCATTTTGGACTTCTGAGGGGGCCGCGCTCATCGTCCTTCATAGCAAAATCATTGATTTTACAAAGGTTTTGGGCTCATTTTGTCCTTCTCAGGGGGCAGCTCTACTTTGCGCTTCTGAGGAGGTCGCAAGAGGCCCCAAGATAGCCCCAAGAGGCCCCCAGGAGGCTCCCAAGAGGCCCCCCAAGAGGCCCCCAAGAGGCCCCCAAGAGGCCCCAAGAGGCCCCCAAGAGGCCCCCAAGAGGCCCCCAAGAGGCCCCAAGAGGCCCCCCAGAGGCCCCCAAGCGGCCCCCAAGAGGCCCCCAAGAGGCCCCCAAGAGGCCCCAAGAGGCTCCAAGAGGTCCCCAAGAGGCCCCACGAGGAGCCCGAACGACTCACACCAGGACGAGGGGCCCCAACGACTCACACCACGAAGAGCCCGAACGACTCACACCACAAGGAGGGGCCCGAACGACTCACACCAGGACGAGGCGCCCGAACGACTCACACCACGAGGAGCCCGAACGACTCACACCACGACGCGGGCCCCGAACGACTCACACCACGAGGAGCCCGAACGAGTCACACCAGGAGGAGGGGCCCGAACGACTCACACCAGGATGAGGGGCCCGAACAACTCACACCACGAGAAGCCCGAACGACTCACACCAGGACGAAGAGCCCGAACGACTCACACCACGAAGAGCCCGAACGACTCACACCAGGAAGAAGGGCCCGAACGACTCACACCAGGACGAGAAACCCCAAACGACTCAAATCACGAGGAGCACTTTCTCTCCCTCCTCCTCCGCCTCGTCCTTCTCCCGCTCCCCCCACAAGGAGGATGTACAAGGAGGCGGGAGGAAGGAGGAACAGGGGAGATATGCGGGGCCAAGCGGACACACGCCTGAAAAACACGACTGTCGGCATGCTTCGCAAGAGTTGCTGCTGTGACATGGGCTGGTGGGGATACGCGAAGCGTAAAGAATTTCTCAAACACGCGGCCTCGCCTGGGTGAGACCACGGCCGCTCAGTGCCAGGCTCTTCCCCCCCCCCACCACTCCTTCCAGATCCCTTGCGTCGTGGCAGAACACAACGCGTGATCTCTGAGACCATTTCTCGGATCTGGGAAACCCGACCGAGCTCTGGGACCGTCAAAAACAGGCTCGGGATAGCATCACGATCCAGGATAAAAGAGTCGACGACGTCGGGGGCCATCTGACCGCTTGCCTCTGACCGCTTGCCGGCATCGGCGGGCGAACGCTCTGATCTCATGCTCCCCTCCTCCAGCCTCAGCTTTCCCCTATTTCTCGACCCATCCTCATACTTGTGTCTTTCCACTGGGGGCAGAGAGGGAGAGCTTATAATAAATCCCACCAGACCTCTGGGCGTAGGTGGGAAGGTGGTTTATGGAGCCTGTATTTACAATTTCATCCTTCCACTTCGGAAAAGGGGTTTACCCCTGTCCCAATCCCTCCAATGGATGTGGACGGGGGACCCCGCGAGGCGTTAGAGCGTTGAAAATGGCCCAAGATGGTTCCAAGAGGGCCCCAGGTTGTCTAAGATGGCCTCCGGGATAGCCTCTTAGATGACCTCCCAAATGGCCTCGAAGGTGGCTCAACATATCCGCAATAGCGTGTTCTACTGCGGCTGGCTGAAAATCGGGGGGGGGTCACTGGGGTTCCCAACCCGTCCCCCCCCCCCCGAAAACTGGGGAGGGGTCACCACCAGTTCGACCCCCCCTCCCCCCCCAGCCCATCATGAAAAAGGGGGGGTCACTACAACCCCCCCCCCCCCGCTCGCCGCCGGTCCCGCTCCTCGGGACAGTTGGACAGTGGTGGGGATACTCGGACAGTGGTGGGGACGGTGGTGGTGCGGACAGTGGTGTGGGGACAGTGGGACAGTGGGACAGTGGTGCGGACAGTGGGTGGTGAAGGGACAGTGTTGAAGGCGGTGGTGAGGACGGTGGTGGGACAGTAGCACGGCGGGGAGAGTGGTGGGCACAGTGGGGACTGTGGGACAGTGGTGGGGACAGTGGAGCCAGTGGGACAGCACAGTGGGACAGCGGCGGGACGGTAGGGACGGTGGGACAGTGGTGGGAGCAGTGGGGACAGTGGGACAGTGGTGGGGACAGTGGGGACAATGGGGACAATGGGGAGAGTGGGACCGTGGTGGGACAGTGGGGACAGTGCGACACTGGTGGGGGCACTGGTGGGGACACTGGTGGGGACAGCGGGGACAATGGTGGGAGCTGTGGGGACAGAGGGACAGTGGTGGGGACTGTGAGACAGTGGTGGGGACGGTGGTGGTGGGGATAGTGGTGTGGGGACAGTGGGACACTGGTAGGGACAGTGGGGACAGTGGGACAGTGGTGGGGACAGTGGTGGGGACAGCGGTGGTGGGGACAGTGGTGGGACAGAGGTATAGTGGGGACAGTGGTGGGGACAGTGGGGACAGTGGTGGGAACAGTGGGACAGCTCAGTGGGACAGCGGCGGGGACAGTGGGACAGCGGGACAGTGGGGACAGTGGCGACAATGAGACAGTGGTGGGGACCGTGAGGAAAGTGGGGAGAGTGGGACCGTGGTGGGAACAGTAGTGGGGACAGTGGGGACAGTGCGACAGTGGTGGGGGCACTGGTGGGGACAGTGGGGACAGTGGTGGGAACAGCGGGGACAGTGAAGGTGGGGACAGCGGTGGGGGATATGTGGTGCGGACGGTGGTGAGGACCCAGATGTCGTTTGCCGGCGGTGAGTGGGCGGGGGGGGGGATTCGAACAGGTAGTGACCCCCCCCCCGAATTTCGAGGGGGGGGGCGGCTTCGAACCGGTAAAGACCCCCCCCGGTTTTCCGGAGGGGTGGGGTGGGGGTTTGCCGGGGGAAGGGGGGGGATCCAGCAGGGGGTTGGGATTTTAAAAGGGGGGGACCCCCGGGTGCCCCAGGGAAACCCTCGAGAGGCCAGAAAGCGTCAAACACCTGAGTTATGTCCGATGAAATTACCAACGCAGTTGTTCTGTGCACGCCAGTTGATTACTTCTGAGGGCGCAAGATGACCCCACATCACCAGGGAAAGCCCCAGGATGGGCCCAGAGGGGCTCCAAGACGGCCCCACGAGCGCGCAAGAGGGCTCCAGGAGGAGAGTCGCCTTTCTCCAACTGGGGGCGGGGGGGGGGGGGGGCGAATTCAAGGTTCCCGATTGACTGTCGATGGAAGCAGTCCAAAATTGCCCCGGGAGAACCCCCGAGGCCCACAAGAGTGCCTCCGAAGCCCCCAGAATTTGCCCCAGCTGACCCCAAGATAGCTCCGCGAAGCTCCGCGAAGGTCTGCGAGGGCCTGTACAGTTGACACCTGACGTCGTCGTCGTCAAAATTGAAATTCCGCACCATCATCGTCCTCCTCCTCGTCCTCCTTCTCCATCTCCTCATCCTCATCCTCCGTTTCCTCCTCTTCCTCCTCATCTTCCTCCTCATCAGCGCACATGGCCGCGGCGCACCACATCGTCCGTCCTCACTGGCTCACCTCGAAATCGCCTCTGGCGCCTACGCGAAGCTTCAGCAGAGCCTGTATTACTGGAAAGATGGCCTCCACAGCCTCCCGCGGAATCGGATGCACGAGTGACTGCAGACAGGTAAGCAAAAGATACGCGGTGATTGAGGGCAACAGAGCAGAGTCAAAAGGATCAACGAGACCCAGACGAGTGATGGGGCAGGGGGGACAAAATCGATGTGAAGCGAAGTCGATGTGAAACTGGCGGAACGCTACGACCCCGGAATACATGACTTGATGGTCTCCCGTATACTCCCATATGGTCTCCCATGTAGTCTCCTGCATGGTTTCTCGCATGGTCCCTCAAGGTTGCCACTCGAGTATTCCTGCTAGTCTCCCTTATGGTCTCCTGGATGGTCCCATGTGTTCTCTCATATGGTCTGTCATATGGTCTCGCGTGTGGTCTCCCGTATAGTCTCCCTTGTGGTCTCTCATATGGTCTCACATGCGGCCTCCTTATGGTATCCCATATGGTGGTATCATTCACGATATCCCTTTTAGTCTCCCTTGTGGTATCCCGTATGGTCTTCCGTATGTACCCCGAAATGTTTCCCTCGTGGTCCCCCTGTATGGTATCCCGTATGGTCTCACGTATGTTCTCTTGTATGCTCTCCTGTATACCATCCTGGCTGTTCTTCAGCATGTGCAGGTTCGCATAATGCTCTGTACTATGTGAGTTCAATATACTGTTTGGGATGCCTGCCGCCGGAGAGTACCTGCTGTTCTCGGTGTTCGTCGGGAGCTCGCTTGTCTTGCGAATCTGCCTCTTGCGAAGCGATAGCTAGGCCTCCCCCAGCAATCTCAAGGTTAGCGTGCGCTCAATTCTCGCTCCAAGTCAGATGGTGTTCCGCCCTCCGTAAGATATTGCGCCAGAAGCGGGAAACCCGTAGGGGGTCTGTGGACCCGCTCCCACCTACAGCGTCGTGGCAGACACGCACGACAGCATATCTGCACTGGAGAGTCAGCCCCAGTGTGGGATGATGCCTTTGATCTAACGTCAGGTTGTGGTGGTACGGGCTGGCACAAAAGAACTGCAACTGCCTGCAAGACACGGGCACAAGGCCGGATAGCCCCCCTGGCACTGAAGCCATGCAACGGCACAGCCCCGAGAGAAGCTGTGGTCGGCCAGCAAAGGCACCACGCTCGATGGCTCCGTGCAGGGGTG